ATTTCATTCTTCATTGCAAATGGCTGAATAATATTTCATTGTATGTATATACCACAGCTTATTTATCCACTCATCAGTCGAAGAGACCATTTGTATGTCTTCTTTGGAGAAATGTCTATTCATGTCTTCTGCCCATTTCTTAACTGGCTTATTTATTTTTTGGGTTTTGATGAATTTTCTTTTTTAAGATTTTAGTTATTTATTCATGAGAGACAGAGAGAGAAAAAGAGAGGCAGAGACAGAAGAGAGGCATTATGATAGACAGAGGCAGAGACACAAGCAGGTTCCACGCAGGGAGCCTGATGTGAGATTCGATCCTGGTACTCCAGGATCACGCCCTGGGCCAAAGGCAGAGGCTCAACTGCTGAGCCACCCAGGCGTCCCGATTTTGATGAGTTCTTTATAGATTCTGTACACTAGTCCTATATTTGATGTGTCATTTGCAAATATCTCCTCCCATTCTGTCAATTGCCTTTTAGTTTTGTTGGTCGTGTTCCTTCCCCAACAAACTTTTTCCCAGTAACTTTTGCATCCATTGATAACTTGTAACTTTATTATTGCTTCCATATTTATTGACATTCCACTGAATAAAAAGATTTCTCACTTCTTCTATTTGTTTATTTATCTTTATGTCTATCTACCTGTCATCTATGTATCATATCAATAGAACTTATTATCAAAAAACAAGATTTTTAAAATTATTTATTTGAGAAAGAGATAGAGCAAGTACAAGCAGGGGGAAATGACAGAGGGAGAGGGAGAAACAGACTACCTGCTAAGCCCAATATGGGGCTCAATCCCAGGACCCTGAGATCATGACCTGAGATGAAGGCAGACTCAACCAACTGAGCCATCCAGGTGCCTCCATGTATTCTTGTTTTATTCTACAGGCATCATCTGTTACTATTGTTTATTTCAATGCTTAAATTGTCCTATATTTGGCCAGTGAAAACCATTTTAAACTAGCTTCTGTGTCCTCTTGCCATTTTCCCATCATACCTGAGTATTTTCTTACTTTCTGGCAATTTTATTCTAGGATCATCTTATTACTTTTTTTTGACCAAGCCCTGGAATCAACTTTTTATTCCAAAGTAAATGGCATTTGGAAGTCAAGATCTGGACACTAAATGTACTCATTCATTGCTATTGGTATATTATTACTTGTAGGCCCTCTCAGCAAACAGCAGTAAATATGTCTATGTATTTCTATATATTTACATCTATCTATTTAGAACCATGAGATCCTGGTCAAAGGGTGCAGAGTTGCAGTTACATACAATGGATAAGCCTAGAGATCTGATGTATAGCATGATGACTATAGTTAATAATATTTTATCAGAAACTAGAAATTTGCTGAGAGTTGATTTTAGATATTCTCATCACACACAAGAAATGGTAACTGTGTGAGGAGATATGTTAATTAGCTTGATTGTAGTTATCGTTTCACTATGTATATGTATATAGATCATCATACTATACACCTAAATATATACAATTTTTATTAAGAAATAAAATAAAAACTGTGAGTCCATACTAATATCTTTAATTCTGATTTCAAACCACAGGGTATATTATTTTCTTCCCATTTCCATATTTGTAACTTTCTCTTCAAAAAGTGAGAAATCTGGTTTCCCATTATGTTCAACATATATATTTATTTGTGCAACTTGAAATACACAGAAGGTAATTTCATAATTGCTAACCTATACCATAGCAGAAAGCAAACCTGTTAACTAGAATTCAATATTTTCCAGTTTTTTGAATAAAACTTATTAGAATGACATAAATCGTGCACAAATCTCTGGCGACAGTTCATGAATTTAGATAAATGTCTACACCCATGTAACTCATGTCTCATCAAGATATAAGACATTTTCATTACCTTAGAAAGTCCCCTGTACCCCTTCCTTGTCAATATCTACCTCCTCAAGAGTACCCATTTTTCTGATTTCTGTCACTGTAGACTGATTTGGCTTCTTCTGAAGCTTCTTGTGAATGGAATCATGAAGTGTAATTTCTTGTATCTGACCTCTTTCGCTCATTATAATGGCTATGGAATTCATCTATGTTGATATGTATATGTATAGTTTGATTCTTGTTATTGCTAAGCAGTGGTTATAACTGCGGCTATCCACAGTTTGTTGATGGGCATCATTTGGGTTATTTCTGGTTGGGGACAAATTTATAAATAAAACTCCTGTGAATGCTTTTTACAGATATTTTTATGAACATATGAATTCTATTTCTCTTGGTTAAACATCTACAATCGGATTTGCTTAGTCATAGATAGCACTATGTGTAATTTTATGAGAAATTGCCAACCTTTTATCAAAGTAGTTGCACCACTTATCTTTTTATCAGCAATGTATGAAAATTGCTCCAGTTTCTCCATATCCTCACCAACATTTGGTGTTGTTCAGTCTGTTTTTTAACTTAAGCATATGAATACTTGTTTAATGGTACCTCATTGTGATTTTAGTACACATTTCTCTGATGCCTAATGGTGCTGGGACTTTTTAAAGACATTATTAAACATTTGTATATCTTCTTTCATGAAATATCTATTTAAATTTCTTGCCATTTTCTAATTTCTTTGTCTTTTTATCATTATTGTTGTAGGAATCCTTTGTATATTATAGATGTAGGTCTTTCGGTACAGACCAATGTTTTGCAGGTATTTTCTGACAGTGTCTGGCTTGCCTATTCATTTTCTTAATAATGTCTTTTGACAAGCATATGTTTATTCTTTTAATAAAATCAAAATTATAAATTTTTATGGTTATTGCTTTCTGTATCCTTTTTAAAAACTCACTTTCTTTCCCCAGGTAGTAAATTTATTCACCTATGTTTTCTTCTAGAAGTTTAGTTTTATATTTAGGTCTAATATCTATCTTGAATTAATTTTCCTGTATGATACTCTATAGGGAAATCTCTATATGTTGCCAACCTGATTTTTATTATTTTAAATAATTTTTTCCCAGAAATATTCTCATTAAGTGTTTTTCCTTGGTATTAATAATGTCTTTTTTGGGTGGCAAATGAATAAATCCAATTCAAACTATATTAAGTAAAGAGGAATTTGTTTGCTCACCTTACTGGGAAGAATAAGACATATATCTCATAGGTCCTAAGGAAAATACACAAAGGCCAGGACTTCAGGAACTAGAATTAGGATGGATATTTTTAGTCTCTCTCTATTCTTCACTCACATCTGTTTATCTCTGCATAGCTTCATTTTGCAGACAGCTTTTCTGAATGGGGCAGGAGAGATGAACTCTGTCAGCCTTTGATGCTCATGCTTCCAGTGCCTCTGTCCTGGAGAAAGACTCCAGCACTGCTTCAGTCACATGCACACTTCCTGGGCTGGTCATTTTGAGAGGAGCTCAAGAACCCTGCATAATCACATCCAGGCCTACCCTGTGGCAGTGGGATGGTACTATAAACTGAAACAACATGGCATGAGGGAGGGACAGTTTCCCAAAAACAGGTTTCAGGGAATTCCAAATAACATATATGTCTTGTCAAGCTTCCTATTAAAAAAAGAAAAAAAAAAAGTTTTTTTTTTTCTTTTTTTAATGTTTAGGATTTAGTTATCTTTCACTGAACTGCTAATTAAATATATTCAGAGGCAGTAACGCTGAGTTTCAATTCAGCTTATCTAAAACTAGAGTGCAAATTAATTAGATATTTTGAGGAATAAAATGTGTTCAGATTATCTGAGAATAATTATACCTCATCCAAGATCAAAGTTTAACACATCAAAGTTCATCATAATATGAATGATTCTGAATAGAGTAGCAGCTAGATATTTTTTCACTGTAGCATCCCTCCAATTTCTTTAAATTCTAATGAAAAAATTGTGTTGTCAGTACCTCAATATAATAAAACATTGGGACAGCAACTGTGGTTCAGTGATTAGAACAAGATTTATATACTCAGAGTACCTAGTAATTTTCTAGAGCTTATAAAACAAGGTTGATGATGTTCACCACACAGGATTAATTGACAAAGAAGAAGCAGTCCTTATTGGAAATCATTAAGTACCTCAAGGCTTCCATTTGAAGAAAACTTGAGATTTCATTGTAGACGAATAACTATCTCAGCCAAAGTTACCTACTTGGTTTTTTAATTTTAACTTTAATTTTTAATTTTTAAAAAATCAATTAATTAACATATAATGCACTATTAGTTTCAGAGGTAAAAGTTACCTACTTGTAAAGCATTTTCTTTGAAGTGAGATTGAATAAAAAGCTGGCTCCCTAAAGAGCCTTGAAGTGATAATGTAATTGACAAGATATCTGATTTTCCTTGGTTCCACTCACTAAAGGAAACTTGCATTAAAAGCAGTATTTCATATAGGCTTTAATCTAAGCTTAGAAAGATGACCATCAGGGGACAGAGATGGAGGAACTCTGTAAATGATAAACCTGGAGGTTATTTCCCTATTGTGGAGACGACTCAGCTGAAAAGGTCCCCTGCGCCACCCCCCCACCCCAACCCTGACTATCCTGCTTGACATTCCACTTGCTTCAACTTGGCTCTCTCCACTCTTCCCATTGTATACAAAAGCCCTCTTTCATTGCTGCCATTGCTCCTCTATCTTTTGATATTATAAATCCATTACTTTTCAGATTTAGGTGTGGATAACATCTTTGTTCCTTGACACAGCTTTTCAAAACAAAGTTTTAGTGATGAGCAATGAGGGAGGGAGGGAAGGGCACACAAAAGCTTAAAAATTAAGATGTTTATAAAATCAGCTTTCTGATCCCACTTTTTTTCTGATCCTATTTTTAAGGATCTAGTCATAAATTGGATTATTATAAAATAGGAACACCCAACTCCTATTAAAAATAGGAGTTTTCCCTACTTAAAATCTGTTTTCTTTCTTCTTTGTGGCCATAAGATACAATGGTAGTTGCTGTCTTAAAGGTCTCAGTGAAAAAAAAAAAAAGCTCTCAGTGAGCTCTTATTTCCTTCCTTTAAGAAAAGCTGACTTCAGCGTTTGCTTCAGCAGTACATATACTAAAATTGGAGCAATACAGAGAAGATACCATGGTTCCTGTGCAAAGATAGACATGCAAGTTCATAACGTGTTCCATATTTTTCTGTAATATGCAGCACAGTGACCATAGTTAATAATACTGCATTGCCTATTTGAACATAGCTAGAACAGTGGATTATGATATTTTTCATTACAAGAAAAAAATCTTGTGACTGTGCATGATGAGGGATGTTAACTGGACTTAGTGTGGTCATTTTGCAGTATATACAAATATTGAATCATTACATTGTACACCTAAGACTAATATAATGTTATGTCAATGATATTTCAGTTAAAAAAGGAGGAAGGATGGAGAAGTTGACTTTTTCTTTTCCCATTTTGAGCATCATTTTCATTTGTAAAGCACCTGAATTTCAATTTTATATTAGAGGAATACCTTCCGTTCTTGGTTTATTTATAGAATTGAAGTAACAAAGAGTCTCCCTCTCCTTTTCATAAATGATTGATTGGTTGTGACTGTCTACAGTGTTATATTGAGAAGGCATCTGGGGGCAATCTTAGGTTCCACAGGAAAGAGGACTGTGATTAATTAATAATGTCTGCTATGAGCCTGAAGAGCATCTGTAAGGTTGCCATGTATCTCTCACTTCTCTCTTAATCCCATTGATAGTGAAGTATTTGTTCCTACTCAGGTTATCAGCTTTGGGAATTCTAATGATTCTTTTTTTTTTCACTTATCCCTCAACAGTGGTGGGGAACACATCTGAGTACGTATTAAAAACCTTTTTTCTCTATCTAATTTAAAACCTCCTTAAGGGTAAGCAGATTCTTTTTCCAAACTATGAGACATTAAACATACAACAGAAAAAAAAATACTTAAAAGTGTTTTTTAAAATGGTTCATCTTATTAAATAATTTTGATTTCTCACCAAACGGTTATGGAAATATCGAAGCTTCAAATATAAAATGTAGATTGATATTCTTGTTTTAACCCAGCATATACATAATTTTCCTAGTATAGTCTCTTCTCTGATGTTTGTGCAATTTAATTTCAAATGAATCAAGTAATAGGATATTTCATGTTTCCTCAGGAAAATAACTGCACATTTATAAAATTATTACTGTTAAACTTCCCCCAGGTGTGTTCTTCTGGTGACTGTTTTAAACTTCATATTCATAACCCATTGCACTTTATTCACTTCCTTTGTTTTCTTCACATGTAAACTCTTGAGTTTTAAAAAGAGCTGTTTATTTTTAATTCAAATTATGATTGAGGGTAACATCTGGTGAGACAAATGGAAGTTTTCTTTGCTCAATAGTTTCTGAAGTTCAGGTTAGCATTAAACTACTAAAAGAGTAAAGGGTTAGAGTTAGGTGGGAGAATTTGGATTCAAGTCTTTAGTATTGGTGTTTAGTAACATGAACTGCTTGAGGATTTTTGCACTGTACTCTGTGGAGTCTTGAAGCCAATTCTGTTCTTTCCCAAAGACTCACATTTTTGTTCACTCATACATTCCTTCATTTATTTACATTTATTTAACAAACCTTTGAGGATTCAGATATGCTATTAGTCTGGGAGGGGGGTGGTTTCAGGGAGCCCATATCCACAATGAGTTATGATGTAAAAGACTGAAAAGTAGGAAGGATATGACCCACATGTGATAAAGATTATTCCCAGTAATGTGGGGACTCATGGAAGGGAAATGTCCATTTGGGGATGGCAGTGGCTCCAGGCAAGCCTTTGTAGAGGCTGTAAAACTGAAGGATAAATAAAGGTGAACGATGAAGTCCAGGCAGTGAGAACTACCATTTGTGAAAATTCAAGGTCCTTTTGAAGTACTTGAAGGAATTGCTTTTTAACAACAGATTTAGGTTCCTCGAATTTTTCTTGGAGCTAAAACTATCTACACTAGATCCTCTGCATTCTCGGACTTACTATACTGATTCCCTTGTAGGCACCACAATTTGATTCATTCTTTGAGGGGGGAGGTGGTATGCTGGAGAATGAGGGATAGAGATTGAATTATATTTCACTCAATAGTTGTCTTTTTTAACAGTTACCTTACCACAAGCTACTAAGATTTAATTCTTCAAAGTTTTTCTTATATATTTTTTGTAAATATACATTGTCTTAATTTGCTCTGGCTGCCATAAAAAAGTACCATAGACTGGGTGGCTTAAACACAGAAATTTATTTTCTCACTATTCTGGAGACTGAAGTCTGAGATAGAGGTACCAGAGTGGTCAGGTTCTGGTAAGGTTCTTTCTTGGCTTCCAGAAGACCACTATTATTTTATTTTATTTTATTTTATTTTATTTTATTTTATTTTATTTTATTTTATTTTATTTTATTTATTTTATTTTATTTTATTATTTTATTTATTTTATTTTATTTTATTATTTTATATTTTTTATTTATTTATTTATTTATTTATTTATTTATTTATTTATTTATTTATTTATTTTTGCTGTGTGCTCATAAAGCCTTTCCTTGTGCCTTCTCATGGAGAGAAAAGGCAGAGCCAGAGGGAGACAGAGAAAGAGAAATGTCAAGTCTGAAATTACTTTAACAGAATATTAAAAAGAGTCTTAAGTTTTAAATCAGGTAAGCAATTGCAGTTATTGAAGAAATGCTCTGGGAAATAATAAATACAAACCTAGAGCTTTATAGATTGACTGCGATATATTCCATGATCAGATTGTTCAGTGAGCATCCTGTGGCAGAGTTCTTTTATTTATTTATTTTTTCGCTTCAGCAAAGAATATCAGATCTGCAGGCATATACTTACGTGTCTTGTAGTAGCATGGAACTCAGTATTTTAAAAATGAGATGGAAAATATCAATAAATATTTTGCCTGTCAGGATTTTCTTCACTAGAGAAAATGTACAACATGCATATATACCCATACCCACCATATACGTGCACACGTACACAGGCATGCACTCCTATATGCACTATTTCTTTCTGTGCGTATGTTTTTGTTGTGTCAACCGTTACCTATAGAAAGGTTATAAGCTGGCATTTAGACATATAGCCCAATAATATATACTACTGCTTGACAAACCAGCATGTTAGCAACAGCTACAAAACAGCTTTTGAAAAAAATAAGGTTAGAATTTGATAAATATTGACTATCTGTAGTTATATATGGCATACAGTGCGATCACATTCATTTTGCAAAGGAATAAGGTTCTAATGTCAACCCCAAAGGTGGCAATTTGATGTGAACAAAATTACTCTTGAAAGTTACATAAATCTCTCCCAAATTGCAGCATTGTACCAAATCTGCCAGTTTTATTTTTGTTTCCTCCCCTAGCAATAGAACAAATCGCTGTTTTTTGACCGATCAACTGGAGTAGCCGTTTGTGTTGAGGGGTCGTGTGGTGTGAAATCATGTGTACTTTGGAACTCTGGTATCATATTTGCACAGTGAGAGACTCCTGCCCCCTGTATCCCCCCTCCTCCCACAGAGCTTCCAGAGGCCCAGGGAACAACCCTGGCTGCAAGAATGTACCTCCCACTTGTCCTAGTTAGGTGTTCACTGAATGTACTAGAGGCTTTGTGGTGTAATTGTCATGCTATTGAAGTTCTCTCTCCCTTCTCTTTCTCTATAGCTCCATTCTTCATTTTTCTCTTGGGTTTGCTGAACATTTGTAGTCATGTAGGTAAATTCACACCTATTGCAACTCTATGGCATATGGCATTCTATCTATAACTGTTTTGTTTTTGTGGTTGCTTATTTATTTCCTGTTGACATGAAGTCATGTACATAAATACTTATTCATGTGGCTGTTTGACTTTTAGAAAATTCTGCTAGGAGCATGAATTTGCCTCTGATTGCATCATGTAATACTGTTAACCTAAACCTATATGATTGCAAGAATGATACATGAACCAGTTTCCACCCCTGGAAAATAATTCAAAGCTACCAGCCCATCAAATGATGAGAACTTTCTAAACCCTAGCATGGCACAGTAGTCATTGCTAAGGCTTTTTCCTAAGATTGATAGGAGGACACCAGTTAACGTCTCAATTCTGTTTTTGTTTTAGTTCAGAGTAACCATTTATTTATGTTATTGTTGTGTTGTCATTGTTATATTGATTTGCTAAACACTTAAGTTGATGGTTCTATTTTGTAATCTCCTGTACTACCTAGCTGCCATATCCTGACCATGGGGAAAGTACTTTCCAGTGGAAATTCAGTTAAATCATTCTCTGAGAATTTGAGTAATCTGTATTTTTCTTCATGCTAAACCACAATTGATTACATGTATTTCCTGCCAAGGCTAAAATGTGTAAATTCTGAGTGTTGTATTTTTTCTTGAAAGGCAGTTTCAGGTTCATTTAGGTTTGATGATTTTGACATTGTGTTTAAGTACAATGTTCATACTAATTGAAGTCTTTTATGTTAAAGGAAAAAGATCAGGTTCTTAAAGTGTACAGTCTTCTTTATGGCATTAAATGCAATTTAAAAAGTCCAAGATATTATTTGTAGGAATTCTATTGTGGTTGTCACATAGCTTATTCACTGATTCAACAATTATTTCCTGAATACCAAATAAGCATTCTTAAAAGCACTGGGTACACTGTAGTGAGGAAAAGCAAGTCCTTGACCTTGTGAAGTTTATGGTCTCCTGGAAGGATAATTGGCAGTAAATAGCTAAAGAAATAACAATTTAGTCAAGTTTCAGGAAGACAGAGGTCAGAGTTCAGTGATGGAGAATAGCAACAGGGGAACTAATTCACTAGATGATTAGTTAGTGTTTATTGGAATGAGTGGATTTTAGGCTGAGACTTAAAGAATGAGAAGGGGCTGGGTATCTAAAGAGCAATTGCAGGGTGGCTTAACAGAGATCAGCAAGTAACAAGATTCAAGGCACGATGGGGCTTGGGTGTTTCCAGAACTGAAAGGAAGCTGGTGTGGTTGCTTGCATCAGAGCTTGTGTGTGTGTGTTTCTGTGTGTGTGTGTGTGTTTGCGTGTGTTTGCACACACATGCACGTGTATGTTGAAGTGGGAGAAATGAGGTGGGGGTGGTATGAGATTAGGTTAACCTGTAAACAGATGCCAGATGATTCAGAGTCTTACAGGTCATGGTTAAGACTCAAGTTTTTAAAATAAGCACAATGGGAGCCAATTAAAATGTAAAAAGTAGAAAATCATCTGATTTAAAATTTTAAAAGCTCACTTTGGCTTTTTTGTGGTAAATGAAGTATGTGTGAGCATGGGTTTGTGTCTGTAGTTAAAAATGGAAGAAATGAGACCAGTTAGAGGGCTGTCACAGGGTCTTGGTGGAGATGGAGCCAATCGAATGGATCTAAAATATTTTTGAGAGGTATATAATCTTCTGATAATCAGTATGGGGAGGGTCAGGAATCAAAAATGATCACTTTTCTTTTTTTTCTCTTTTCTTTCTTCTGCCCCCCCTCCCCCAATGGGTATATCATGGTACCATTTACTAAGATCAGGTTTGGGGCAGGATTAAGTTTCAGAGGGTGTTATGTTCATTTTTAGATATCTAACACCAAACCTATTACAAAATTTATGAATTCATCAAACATTGATTGAGCTTTACCATATGTCAGCATTGTCCTAGGTGTTGATATTACCTAGGGTCTTTATTTTTATGGAATTACAGAGATGGTAGATTTCAGAGTGCTAAAATTTTTCTGGGTCCGTAGTTAGAAATGATTCAACCCAGAATCCTTGTTTTAAAGATGAAGATTTAGAAATTGAACCATCTAATTTCTGTAGAAATATCAAAACTGCTCTGGGGGCATCTGGGTGGCTCAGTCAGTTAAGTGGCTGCCTATGGCTCAGGTTATGATTCCCGGATCCTAGGAAGGGTCCCAGATCCAGACTTAATCAGGCTCTCTGCTCAGCAGGGAGTCTGCTTCCCCTCTCCTTTTACCCCTCCCCTCTGCTGATGCTTTCTCTCTAATAAATAAATAAATAAAATCTTTAAAAAAAACCTCCTCTATAAAAATCATGGTTACTTTAGTAAAACTTAATTTTACTATTATTTTCTCTTAGGCATATGATACACTTTGTTTTCATTCCTGTTTTACTGAATTTTTACAACTAGTACTATTAAAATACTATCTGATATATTCTGGAATCAGGAAAATATAGGCATTATAGCCAGGAGTTCATTATAGCTCCCATTGATTTCACTGGCTTTCTGGAAGATAGACAAGGAGAATCATGCATCATGTTCGTGTGCACATTTTTTTGCTAAGGTATTAATGGTAGACAAAGGCAAAACTAGGCACTTGTATTTTTTTTTGTTTTGTTTTGTTATTGATGGTTAGGTTTCCCGTTACCTTGAAGCATTTTAGAGGGGATTTTTCAAATTTAATCAAAAATATTAATGTGAGAGGAAAGAAAAAAAAAAAGAAGAGTCCTAGAGAAAGAATTTGTGTTGTATAATGAATTAGAGATTTCTGTGTATGTCTGGATGTGTGTGCATATGTTGAAATGTTTGCTTTAATGTCTTACTCAACTTTAGAAGTTAAGTATTTGGTCAAAGAATAAATAAGCGATGGTGACATCTCAAGTTGTATAGATTTGAACAATTTAAATACCAAGAAGCCAAAAAAGATGATTTAGAGTGTTCTGAATAAGCATACTTATCTAAATTATGTTACAGCATTTATTGTTCTTTTAGAATGAGATTTACTTGGCTCTTTTTACTAGGTCAAGTACTGTGAAAGACAAAAGTTGATAATTGCCTGCCCTAAGGGCATAACAAACTTGAAGCACAGGCATGATCCAATCTGTACACACACATGCACACACACGATGAGAGAATGTTTCCTGCACTAAGTGGCTACTCTCATGGGAATGCCCTGTAGAGCAGAGGAAGTTTTGAGATGCCTTATAGAGATGAGGGCCTGTTAATGAGGAGGATATTTCAGGACAAGAAAGGGAAAAGTGGATACTGCATGAGACAGATGGTAGTCAAGTGACCTACTTGGAGCCTGACAGCAGGGATGGAGAAAACCTGCAATGCATGCCAGTAGAAGAGGCAAAACTACTAAGATGGTTGAAAAGATCCAAATAAGAAGAATTAGAAAGTTCTGCTTCATCCCTGCAGATGGAAAGGCAGGACTACATTCAAAGAAACGAGGCCCAATGTGGAGGGTTCGAACCTCCCTTTATGGAAGAAATGTGGAGGCCGACAATGGAAATTTCATGGAATATAACTAAGATTGTGTACATACAAATTAAGTGAAAAAATAGTGTTGAAAATAAAGACTAGACATAAGGGCAGCTTGTTTTCTGAGATCAAGCAGAAAAAAACCCAGAGCTTTGTGCACTAATATGCCAAACAGGAATATTCTATGTCTTGTTAATTAACATGTATTCTTATATCCTCCTCCAAGACACAGGGTAAACACTGAACTTTTCAATTCCTCGATAAGTGCTGAAAAAAACATTAGCAAGCATTTTCTGGAAGCCTTTGGGACAGGAAAATATCTTTTATTCTTACCCACTGGTCCCTGGCTCTTCCGGAAAGCCACCTCATCTATTGTTACTGTGGTATTTTAACTTTTTACCTGTTGATTAATATTTTTTCCATGATAAACTCCTTTTCTTGCTATGTATAGTGTGTATGAACTTATACCCCTTCACACATACCCTTGAAATCCTCTTCCTAGAGCAGCTGGAGGGCACCACTCACTCCAGGCCAAGCAGGGCATTTTTGGTTTTGGTTTGGGGTTTTTTTGTTTGTTTGTTTTGTTTTGTTTTGTTTTGTCTTTTGTTTTCCTAGACTTTTTCAGCTGCAATAATTCCTTACCAGCCAAAGAAACTCTCAAAGGAATACTTGGGGAGAATGGGGAGTAGATACATTTGGAGAAATTTTCACATATGTAAAACAAATGTCTTCCACTGAGGTTTTAAAAATAGTCCCTTTAAACTTTAACATGTGTCAGGCTAGTGTTTGCTCAGATAATCACAGGCCTGCACATGCAGGACCCAGTCAGTGCACACCAGACAGAGGCCCCCTTATCATGAGAATTATGTTTTTCTTGGTGGTTTGAGTTTATTTTCAAAAATTGCTTCTTAACACATTATCTTTAGAACTTTCCCATTCTTTAGTTCTACTTAGGAAGAAAGGAATATTATCACCCAGCTGACTAGCTCATTAAAGGAAGACACAACAAGCTTTCTCCAAGTTTTTTCCAGGCATATTGTTGTCAGGTCTCTGGTTTGCCTCTAGAAATTTGGCAAGTAAGTGGATATACATTTTTCACTCTTCCTACTTTTTTTAAGGGACAGAAGTGATTTAGGAGGGAATTGAATATGCCAGAGTACCTTATTTTCTCTCTCTTTTTTTCTTCTTCTCTCCTAAATAGGAAAGTTCATCAGCTTGATAATGGAGGAGAACAATGACTCCACCGACTACCCCCAGCAAGGTCAAGGGCGGAACAATGCCATGAAGTGTGGGTGGCTGAGGAAGCAAGGAGGCTTTGTCAAGACTTGGCATACTCGCTGGTTTGTGCTCAAGGGTGATCAGCTCTATTATTTCAAAGATGAAGATGAAACAAAGCCTTTGGTAAGTTAGAGAAAATAAAAAGCACTAAGGTCACAAGCAATCCAAAAGTTAGAAGGGTTTGCTAGAAACTGATGGAGTCTGAGATTGACTCCATTCCCCTGGTCTCCTTCAGCTTTGGCATCTTTCACACTTTTTCTCATTGTTTACTTTGGTTAAAGATGATGGACTTGCTAATTGAGGCCAAGAGGCAAATTATACTTGTCTGATATTAATTTTGACTTTTACTAAGTTGGAACAGAATGTCTGAGTCCCTCAGGCATGCATGCTTTACGAGAAATTTTAATGGACGACTGCTAGAAGATATATATCATAGACAAAACATCTTTCCTTTACTCAGAAGTCCATTGCCAGCAGATTTGAAGGAAAACTATAAACACAGCTTTCAGTAATTTTTGAGACGCCCTCAGCATCAGTTCTCTGGGGGCTTCCTTCCACCTTAACTCACATAATAAAATATGGATATAGTGCTAAATGGAACAACATTGATATATCCAACTAGCAGACACAATACAGTCTTCTGGGAATCATTTTTTGTCTTTTGTAGTTCCTCAGTGGTCTTATATTTGCTTATTTACTTATCATTTTCTCAGCCACGAGTCTCTAGGTTACAATGAGAGAGAGGAAAAATCTCTAGTTCTTCCTGTAGCTACAGCAGGCTTTCTTAGCTGTGATCGTCAGTTGATGGAGGGAGATGCAACCTGAGGTATCCTCTGTGTGTTTTCCCTTCATCTCTAGCCATAGGATATATAAATGAAAGAAGAAACATAATAGATTAAATGACAAAAACATTCCTAACAGTATGTTTTTGAGGCTATTTCCCTTGTGTTAAAGTTCAAGAACTTAATTAAGAATTTAGATCAGGGCTCTGCTTAGTATTGTACATTCTCAGACATTATAATTCCACAAAGTTCTCATTTGTCTAGTTGAATTATTTAAAAAAAATAGCAACAAAGGCACATCCTATAAATATTTTTTGAAATTGCTGCTATGTTTTAAGCATTTATTTACCAAATCCAGGCATTAGACTAAGAGCTTATATATATTATCTTATGAAATGCTCAAAATAGTCCTATGAGGTAGGATTATCCTCATGTATGCATGAAGAAACCAAGGTTCAGGGATAATATGCATTACTCCAAATTAGACAATGATGCCATGATTTGCTTCCAGATAAGTCTGACCTCATATATCCTTAGCCAAAGACCTCATAAATAAATTAATAAGAATATTCCATATTGTTGGTATCATGATAGTTATAGTGCATGTCCATACCAATTATTGCATTTGTCATAGCAAACCAGTTGAGATGGGGATTAGCGTTACAGATGGAGAAATTGTGGTTTAATGATAAGAAGCAATGTGACAAAGATTTATGGACATTAGAGGCAAAGCAGTAGAATCTTTTGCCTCTTATCCTATGCTCTAGGGTTCTTTTCTCATTATACTTATTTTATACTATAGATTACATTATGGTATTATCTTAAATGTAAAATCATTTTTATCAAACTCCGATAAAGGGATCAGGATTCTGAGAAAACAGAATATGGAGGAGCCAGTATGGGGGCTTTGATATGGAGAAACACATGGAATAAAATGGAAGTATGAGTAAGATCCAATGTTTTATCTCATGGAAACTTCTTCTGGCATAGTTTGGCCAGAATGGATACAATTTTAAATTATTAATTAGGTAGGATCTAGGACCTAAATGGGGGATAAGGAGAGCAGAGGATTCAGGAACTGAGTGAGTGAAGATGTGAAAGAAGATCAAACAAATGTTCTCTTTGGTGAACTTAGTGTATTTTCTAGTGAGGAACGTGGGATAGAGTGGATCAGGCCCCCCAGCTCAATGTTTCTAAAATCTGAAACTTGCAGATGTCAGAGAATATGCACAGGAACCCCAGTTGAGGAACTCTGCCCTAAGCTGTTCAAAGAGAATAATATTATACTGCCTTGGCTATGCTCTGTATTTCTCTGTGTAGTTTCTCAGAAGGTTCATATAGTTACAGATGGTTTTCAGATAACTACAATGTAGTTATTTTGTTAACAAATTGACATATAAATAAGAAAATGCAAAATTTTCTGATTAATTCAAGTGAAAATTGCCTCAAAATAAAAATCCCTTTAATTAGTAATGTTTCTAAGACAAGTTGTATTTTGATATCATTATATTACCAGTGTTTCTAAACTTATAATAATTAATATTAGCAAAATAGAGTTATATTGTCAAGAAATTACTAATTCTTAAACCAAAGATAGGATGCTGTTATTTCCCCCCCAAAAGTTTAAAAAGTTTCCAAATATCATTTGTTAATGAAGCAGTCAAAATTTAGGGTAGGGGCACCTCAGTGGCTCAGTCAGTTAAGTGTTGGACTCTTAATATCAACTCAGGTTCTGATCTCAGGATTGTGAGATTGAGCCCCGTATTGGGCTCTGCATTAGGCATAGAACCTCCTTAAGATTTTCTCTCTCCCTCTCCCTCTGCCCTTCCTCCCCTTAAAAAATCGAGGTTGAATAACTTTGAATTATTATTATTTTTTATATTATCTTTTTTTTAAATATTTTATTTATTTATTCATGAGAGACATAGAGAAAGAGGCAGAGATATAGGCAGTTCAAGCACCAAGAATCTTAACATTGTGCTTTTTAACTTTAATCTTTTACACTAACGTTCAAATGCACGCACAAAGAATCAGATTAAAAACTCAGTTTCTGTTTTAGAGGGCACTTAGTAATTTTAAGGACCACATATTTGCCTGTGAATGGGCAATTCCTTGCTTAAAAGTAGTTTCTGGGGCATCTGGGTGGCTCAGTCAGGTAAGCGCCCAACTCTTGATTTCGGCTCAGGTCTTGATCTCAGGGTCGTGAATTTAAGCCCCACGTTGTGTTTCATGTTGGACGTGGAGTCTACTTAAAAAAAAAAAGTAGCTTTTTTAAGTGAAGGTAGGTAGATGCCTGGTACATTGTAAGTTCTGAAGTGTATTTTTACATGAGTTAGTGAGTGAGTCAATAGAAGGTATCTATAGCTAGGAAGGGCAGGGCCAGTACCAGGTGCTGGGAGTAGTATTGACTATTCTCAACCTCATTTATTAAAGTCATAACTGAAAACATAACTTGGTATATTAAATCATAATCACTTCATAACCACAAAGTTTAAATCACATTAAGTAAATCTTTTTTAAAGAATCACCTCAATGAAGAACAATTGAACATCTTGAAAAATGTTAAAACTGGAAAAAATTTAGTTGTTATAAATCCCTTCCTTTTACAGATGAATTGTGTGTGTGTGTGTGTGTGTGTGTGCATGCACGTGCGTGAATGTTGAATGTGTATGTGTGTACTTGCCATAGGATATTGTTAATGACTGGCAGATGAGAAACTAAAAGCCAGATTCCCTTGCTCTTGATCCAATGTTCCCTCAGTTTTGCTTTTCACTTGCTCACAAATCCTTAACTTTTCTTTAGATTTGTTTTCAATCAGAACTACTTCTTACTTATTTATTTTCAGCATTGGTGCTTTCAAGCATAAGAATGCCCTTGGCCTTCATTTATTTTGATGAGGGCTATTTCATTATTACTGGAGGGAAAGTCACTAATGAAATGAAAAAATCACCCTTTTAAGTATTCCTAACCAGCTAAAAATATTCAATAAACTTAATCTGGATTTGTTTTTCTCTCTCTTAGAAGGCATTTCTAAAAGGAGAGTATTAACACCCTTGAAATGTGTTTCTCCTGTTCTAGAAAAAGGTTTTCAATTTATTTTAGTAAAACTTTTACTGATTTTCTCCTCAACTCAATAAAGAGAGTCAAACTCTCTATTATTTTTGTTATTAAAAACTACACATCTGTTGGGGGGAAGAAATGAACAAAACTATAGTTGGGACAGTTAATAATGTAAGCACTGGGCACTTTATTTTTTATTTTTATTTTTTTGGTTAGAGATTTTATTCATTTATTTGAGAGAGAGAGAGAGCACTGGGCACTTTAAAAACACAGATACTATTAATGCCAAGGATTGAGTGATGATTCTGTGTAGGAGGGTTGAGGAAGGTGTCATAAACCAAGAGATGAACCTTACCCAGAGTGCTGAAGGTTGGAGGCAGTTTTCCAGGTAAACTGAGAAAGAAATTGAGAGCAAAGGAAAGCCAGAGAGTGGTAAAATAGACATCAATAGATAGCTCCATTTTGTGAGGGGAGTGAAATGACAAGAAATGGGGTTTAAGTGATATGTGGGGCCTCAATATGAAGGGATGCATATGTTGTTTGAGACACTTATTCTGGTACATAATGGGAAGCTATTTCTAGAACACCTGTAGTTACTCAAGTTGCAAAACTACATTAATCTATTAGAAAGGAATAATGGCAGCCATTTAAAAAAATGTATGTCTGCTTGGGTTGCCATCACAAAATGCCATATCCTGGGTGGCTTAAACAACAAAAACGTATTTCCTCACAGCTCTGGAGGCTGGAAGACCCAAGATCAAGGTTGGTCTCTGGTGAAGCTTCTCTTCCTGGGTTGCAGACAGTGGCTCTCCCTCTGTGTCCTCACATGCCTGCTGCCTTGTGTAGAGGAGCATAAGAGAGCTCTGATATCTCTTCTCTTGTAAGGACAAGAGATGGATTAGGTCCAGGCCCTCCCCTTAAGACCTCATTTAACTTGAATTATCTCCACATGGGGGTGAGAGATAGGACTTCAATATGTGAATTTTGGGGAATCACAATTCAGTCTGTAATACCTAATATGTTGCAAACTTCTGTTAATGAATATAATTTTTTCAGTTAGATTTTTCTTTTACCTGTACCATCAACTTTTATCTCTACTAGAACTTAATAGATCCAATTTAGTGCATTAAACATTTAATTATTTGAACCTACCATTGGTGTCTGATGTTCTTATTCAAATCGCACCTTGCCTTCTAAATATTCTACAACCTGCACAAGTTTGAGATCTTAGAAAGTCCCACTGCCACTTTTCTTGTCTTTTCTTTTTGAGCAAAAGGCAAA